TCCCCTCCTGCTCCAGGCACCACCAGGAGCTCTGCTATATGACCGCACTGCAAAGTAGGTTGACCTTGGTTAAGTGGGTCCGGAAAATCTTCCCTGTTTTACCAGAGTAACTTGTCTTTTGTGTGTCCTTTAGCTGCAGCCTGCAATTTCCTGAATCACCCCTTGGTTCTTTGTTACATTAAATAATTGTGTTACATTGGCTACTTTCCAGCATTTAGGGCTCACTGCTGGACTCCGTGAATATATAACATTGCCTGCCTGTCCCTGGTTCTTCTGAACTGCCAAATATACAGAGCAAAACTAGTCAGTCCTTCCTCATCACTAAAACAAACAAAACATGCACCTCACCATGGTTTGGAGCGAATGCTTGTCCTCTGTCCCCCCTGACTGCTGGGTGGGGAAGCTGTTAACACTGTCCTCACCAGGGACAAGGGTTTCAGTCAGCCTGAGTTGGCTGAACAGTGTCTGGCTTGTTCCTAAAGGGTGCAAAAGGTGGTTGGAAAATAGGACTGACATTTGGCCCTAAGACCCTGGATGTGAGCTGCTTGGTCAAATCCTGCCTCTGCTGGCAGCGAACAAGTCATAAGCTCACAGCAGAGTCTAGGTGAGTAGGAACGCTTGTATGTCTCTAGTCCAACTTCCTGCTCAAATCAAGGCTGACTCCAAACTAGATCAGGTTCCTCAGGGCTGTGTCCAGCTCAAGTCTGAATATTTCCCACACTGGAGCCTTCGCAGCCTCTCTGGGCCCTCCAGTACCCTGGGGAAGAATATTTTTCCTTACGTCCAGTCAGGGATTCCCATTGCTGCAGCTTGTGCCCATTGCCTTTCACTGTGCACCTCTGGGAAGAATCTGGACTCTGTCTGCTTTATAGCCCCCTTGAGGCAGTTAAAAGCTGCAAGAGGATCCCCCCCTTCACCCTTTTTTCTCAGTACTGAGCAGGCCCCACACCCTTAACCCCTTCCCATATGCACATACGTGAATGCATGTGCACATTAGCAGCGAGAGCAAGCCCTCCATGAGGCTGCTTTCCTAAGCCACTGTCAGGCCTCCACCCACAGCAAATCCAAGGTTTGTCTGATATGCCAGCCCACTACAGGGTAGTTTCCTCATCAACAAGGAGATGTTATTGTTCCTCTGCAAACTCCCCACTGGACAGGCTCAACACCCAGTCACATGAAGCCATCAGCAGACTGTCTTGGCCTGCAACCCAAGCCCATGGCCCCCCTGCTTTAGGGACAAGAAATGGCAAAGACATGCTTGTTTCTTCAGAGCTAAGCATTAAAAGTCATTTACCCTCCTGCAGCTCTCATCAAGCCATAACGACGTTTCCGGAGCAAAGCCCAGAGAATAGTTTCAGGGCCAAAGGAAGTATTTTCCCCTTTTGTCTCTATCTTCCCTCCAACAGCCAAATCTGCCAAGCCCAAGAACCAAAGCTGAGTGCCACCTCTGCCATGATGACGGCCACTGGTGTCCAGCAAAGAATACTGCCCCGGTGCCTTGCACGAGCAGCTGGCGCTGCAGCCCCTCCCCCCAGAGCAGAGTGGGCAGCGTGTGAAAGTTAACAGAGCCTGAGCCAGCACCCACTTCCTACGAGATCCCCAAGGGAGAAGGTGTGGATGGACAGGGAGGTCCCAGTGGGTTGCCACCTTTAGCTATGCTCCAGGCACAAGGTCGAAGATCAGAGCGAGGTGCCACTGAGGCAGCACAGGGGTGGGATTCCCGCACGAAGCTGTGCGGGAGGGAGGGGAGGCAGGTCCTGCAGCCTGCACTGCATTTTTGTGACCATGCTCACCCTTCCAGTGCTCCCCCACATGGAACGGCACAACCATGCAGAGGATCACTTGTTAAGACCGACCGAATACTCTGAGCATCAGCATGCAAACAGTAAAGCATTTACAGCCTAGTCTTGATGGACAGCAGTTACTATTTGTTCGGCTTTCTGTCCCATTCTGCTTCTGAAATCATGACATGGTGACAGTGCAGGGGAATCCATATGCACTTTTTCTGCTTCAGTTGTTAAACATCCACAGTTTTCCTAAATAAATGCTTGGGATCTTCTGGTGACTGTCTCAATCCCGCTGGCTGAGATTGCTGGCTGTTTTAAAATATCCTACTTGGAGAACAACCCCCAGTCCTCTAAAGAGAGCAAAAAATCAGTGATTTACTCTCGCGCTTTGTCTCCAGCTAACTCTAACGCAGTTGTCATTCAAATACTTCAATTCAGCATGATACCTCAATTTAGGTCTTAAATGGTAAGAGCAAAAAAGGTCTTTTTAACCTGGTATTTTAGAGACCTTACTATAAATGCAGCCTCACAAGATTCTCCAGCACACTAAGAAGCTAGATCTCCATACACAGTCTTAGAGGAAATCAGCTAGAAATAACTGCGGGCACTGAAGATGCAAAATACTTTAAATACCATTTTATGTGCTGCACATGCAACATTAAATAGCTACGGCTCTAGCTTTTCCCAATAATATGAAAAATGGAATTATTAATCCCACTCTTCATCCCATGCCAAGTACGTTTTAAACTTACCCCAGGCTAGTTGAAGGTCCTTCAGCACTGGCGGTTGCCAGAGTTGGGAATTAGCACTGTGCAAGAAAGGAGAGAGAGAGGAGAGCAATGGTGGCTTGACGTTTCCCAGGATGGGACTGTCACATGCTAATCACTGATTTGAAACGCAAGCATAACAAATGCCTTCTAATTATGTAATCTTTGGGTCACATCCTTGCATCCCCATGCAAAAACCAGGACTGTGCGCTTGGAAGAAGACGATACTGACTTTTTCCCTTTTTAATTAGAATTGCACGCTGCTGTGAAGGGAGGGTGAGAAGCCTTGTGAAGTGATGGGCAGAGGGGGCCGTGTGGTGAGAGCCAGGTGCTGATGTGGTCTCTGCTACCTTGCCGAGCTCAGAGGCTCTTAAGTACCTCCTGTGGCACCCAAGTGAGGCAGCATGCAGCTGGGGACAGGGAGACGGGACCAGCTCCTCCCCGCCTTCTCTGACACCCTCAGCCTCCTACTGTGCATGGTCTCACTAGGGATGCCAGGGCCAAGAGGGCTCCCCTTCTTTCATTCAGGGGCCAAGAGCAAGGTTGCCAAAGTAGCCGGGGCAGGGGAGCAGCAACCACCAGTACTTGCGTATTTTCTGTTGCTTTTGTTAGATCATGAAAAATTTCCTTTGAGTAAAAATAAATAAGGGCTTGGAGGGAGGTGGGAGAGCGGGAGACAGCAGCCCTCCATGCCTGCTCTATTTCTTCACTAAGGTCCTGCAGGGCTTTTTGCTCCGAAGGGCATCAAGAAAGCTTGGGGAGAATGCAGGTAACCCAAGGCCAGGGGTGTTAGGAAAAGGTTTGAGCCAGTCCAGTGAGTTACTCCGAAGCGTGAGAGCAGGGAGACATAAAGGAGGAGGAACAGTAACAAAAGGCAGACTAATTTCTCCCTGAAAGACAAAGAGCTGCTTCAAAGATACCGTTCAGGCAGAAAACCTGAAATGTAAAACCGCACAGCCTAATTCAGTATAATTGCTGTGCAGCACAGATAAATGTGGTGATGTGGAGTCCTAGCAAAGGAGCTGAAAGGACAGGCTCATAGGTTAACAGAAGCTCTGTGGAAGATGCTGCTACCTTTGAAGTCAGGGACTAGGAACAGATGACACTGTATTTCTTTTTTGGAGTTGGCTATTTCAGGAGCAAAACACAACAAAATTGAACAAAATAAAATGATAATTCTGAAGGAGTTTGCTGGAAAGTGCATTTTTGGTGGGTCAAAGATACCTGTGAGTTCCACAAACAGCTCAAGCTAGGAAAGATTTTTTTTTTTTTTAATAAATAAAAAGAAAAACATTTAGCTTCACGAATCTATGAACAAAACATTTCAAATAAATAGAGATTTTCCTACAGGCAGCTTTAAGAAAAAAGGCTGAAAGGCATTATATTGCCAAATGATCCATGAGCTGCTTTTGTTTCAGATGGCCCAGTATGTTTCAGTCTGCCGATAATGTGCTGTTTTTTCATTTTGCTAACAAATCACAGGGCCCAAGATTTTTCCAAATCCTGGCAAAATGAGATGAGTATTTGAAGGCACATCTGGAGGAACAGCATTTGTACATTTTGTCTGCAAATGGAGGCAAGGACAGGTATTTACTAAAACTCCATTAAATATCTGGCAAGCAAAGACTCGACACACATTTTTTCCTGACAGCACTGGTATGTTGTGGTTTGGGTTTTTTTTAACTAGAAAGCAGTTTTTCTGCTTTGTAAAGCAAAGTATTTAGATTCATAGTGCAGAGACCTTTGATGACCAAACACAAACAAAAATAGAAATAGATTTTTCATTGCATTAGACTTTCTGATGGGACAGTGGCAATGATCAGTCTCCCCTGTGTGCTCTCCCATCTACTTCCCTTTCCAGAGAAAAGCAGCTTTAGTGCGCGGCAGAGGTCTGTCCTTGAGCAGCCTGGTACCAGAGCCTGGGGTTTATGGGCTTGACCTGTGAGGAGTTAACTACTATGTTACAGCTGCACTCGCTCTCTGCCCTGACCCCACTATGCAACACCTGGCTTAGGGTAAACGGGATCGGATGAGCACTGCGTTTGCAAAAGGTTCTGTGGGTGGTGAGGTTTGTTTTCTAGTGAAAGTTACTAAAGTTGGGTGTAAATAGGCTTCCTTTGTTGATGACAGGTTTTTTGGAAACTCAGGGAGAAAGACATTCCTAGGGCAAGTTAAAATAAAAAAAAGAATTCTAGCCATCAACTGCTTCACTTATAAATTCACCCTATCCAACTTCATTTCTTTAAGGTTTTCACTTAGGAGACTTCAGCTGATCAGTCTGAAAAGAAAAATAACAATTTTATTTACTATAGACACGCATCCTCAGGGGTTATTTTTAATAAATACATGAAGAAATCAATGCCTGTTGAAAACTGGTCACAGCTGTGGAGCCCAGAATGCAGTCAGAGAGCTGTCTTTAACCCGTGCTACTGTCTGTGCCAAATAGCTACATTTTCAACTTCTGCTTTAGTCCCACTGCTGCCGAGCCATGAAATGTGCCACTCCACTCCATTTTCATCTATAAAGTCGCCTTCACCTTCCATCTTGTAATGACATAAATCCAGCCTGTTGAGAATGCAATCAGTATGTGGCAGCACGGTGATGTGTGCACTACCCAGATAAGCAAATTGCCAGGAATCACAACCTTCCCAGTGTAGTGTAAGTACCTGCCTTAACTTTCTCCCACATTGTAGCCTGTAAAAGTTTTGACCTACAAAGCACACAGGTTAGACAGCCAAGGAGCATACTCCTTTCTTTGCAAAACTGTATTCGTACTAATGTCATCCCAGCATTTAGCCCCTACAGGAAAAACTTCATAGTCCCAGTCATGATTTGAAGTTACCAGGGATTAAATCCTATGAAGTTTATCCTGACTTTCATTAGGGGCATCTTAAAGATGTCTAAGTGTATGCAGCCAGTTACTGTGTGATCTTCTTGCTGTAAAAATCCATCCTCTCTTACCCTTTCCCCATCCTGCTACGTGCTGTTACGACAAAGTGCAAGGATTTACAGCCTCCTGCGGGAAAAAAAAAAGTAACTGTCACATGAATTCAGTCCTCGTAAACCACATACTTCTGCTGATCTTTGAAAGCTGTGATCAAGCTCATCATTATAGCTGAAAACTGCTATAAAGAAGAAATGTCTATGCATCAGCATCCCTTGCAAATAAGGGGAGAATAACTTTTAAAATCAATTACTGGAGATTTGTTTCCCTTAAAAAATGAAGCCGCCTAGCAGTCACAGGAAGTTTCTATGGTGCTGCCTATTTATGGTCTCTCATGAAAGCTGCAGTGATCTGGTGAACTGACACCTGTCTCGTGTGAGTAGGTGGAAACTAGCAATCCTGAAACTTGGCAAAAATAGCCTGCATTGGGCTGTCAGGGAGTGGCACGTATTAACAGTCACAAATCAGTGTCAAAAAGGAGAAGTCTTAATTCCCTGATGAAAACAGCAGCAGCCGGCAAAGATTGGACCTCTGCTGTCAAGGGTGTATCTACATCAGCATTTTAGTTAGTTGAAATCACAAGTTCAAATCAGAACCAGCTGGTTTTCTCTACAGATCAGCTACTAGTGACAAGCACTGTGCTGGCCCCTTTGCGATGGGCTGTATTTTCAGAAGAGAGTAGAGGCATCACCCTAAGATTTTTGAGAGAAAATGGCTGTAGAGCTACATTTGTCATCTACTGCTGAATGCCCTCACTGAAGTGATGAGTACTCACAGGTTTAGACTTCATGCAGAATTCACATCTGTCATTTAATATGACAGCAAAAGACAGAAGCTCTGTAGCAGATTTTAACATGCCACTGTAATAGAGGCATAACTTAACTCAATCTGTTCTAAAGCATTGAAATAAATGTCTTTAATTTTTCCCCAAACATTTGAGTTCATTATATAGGTTCCCATTTTGTATCCAGGTACATTCTGTAACACATATTTTAATTTGTGTCTTTTCATTTAAAAATAGAATTGGTCATCATTCTAGTACTATTGTGGCTATTATTTTTGGTCAGCAGGGCAAGACAGAGTTTTTTTTTTCCTGATGAAAGACCATGTATTAACAAACATACATTTTAGATTTATTTCAGATACTGGACGGGGGAGGGAAAAATTAAACCTAAATCAAACCTAGCAAATTTGACAGAGAAGTCATTTAAGGAGAATAAACGTGAATGTTCTCATGTCATTTTTTATGGTTAATTTTCTCATTAAATCTGCTTTGTGGATTTTGAAGTGGGTATCAGCTTCTTGTTTTAGGAAAAGATGGTATCTTAGCAATTCAAAACACACACCCTTATTCAAAAGAAATGAACTTAACTGATGTTTATATGAGTGGCACTAAAATATTTTATTCCGAGTGATGAAACTAAACCTCGACATTTCCCATCTCTCTGAAATTTGTACTTTACCTCAAAAAATAAGTAAACACAAACTTTGCAAACTATCAGCGCAAATCGGTGCTGTATTTCTGCATGCATCTGTAGGCAGACAGCTTGAAACAACAGCTCTGAAAGGGGTCTGAACTGTTCTGTTTCTCTGAACTCTGCCTGAGCCCAGAGACCTGGTAACAAAAAGTGGACGGGTGGAATAACCATCTTGAAAACCTCTGACTGGGAATGAATCACAGACTTTTGACTGATCTTATGAAAAGGATACAACTGGGATCAGCAATCTCAGATACCCAGTGCAAGTTTCACTGGTAGCAAAAGAAACCTACTCCCATGCTGGGTGAATTTTATTTGGACTTTAGAACTTATGAAATCAAAACTAACAGAAAAGACTACACGGCTCTTCCACTTCAAACATACTTGTTTTCATTGAATGGTCCAATGTACTTTGCTCCATTTGGAAATGTGTAGGTTCCAGCCCCATGAAACATGCTGTCTTTGAACTTGCCTTCATAAACTGGCCCAGAAGGATGTTCTAGCCTTCCAGTACCATTCAGTACGATTCATCTGCATTTAATGAGAGATGAAGGATAAAGAAAATGGTTAATGTTTATGCTTACAGTATTATTTCCTTTCATTACAATATCCTTTTAGATTGCTGCCTTTTAGTCTGCTATCATATTCAGATATGATAATGGAGAGGAAAGTGACTATTCTTTCAGATTTAGACAGGTTCCTGCTTCTACAAGGATTTCAGGTAAGAGCTTACAAGTTTTTGGCCAGCCACAGTGTCCAATAAACCCCTCCTCTGCTGGTAGTCTCACAGGATCTTAACAATCTATGCAACACAGAACTGCTGTCCCCAGCCCTGCAAATAACTCATCTACCCTGACAGCCTGAGGGGTTAATTAAATTTTCCGGAATTTCTTTCTGTGGATCAAGGCAGAGCAAGTCTTTCATTTGTTCAGCCTAGGCCACTAAGCCATGCCTGGGGATTTAAATCTGTGCTGTAAAGCACTTCTGTACCATAATCTTAATTCTTATCATTGCACCAATATTTTTGTAAGAGACTGAAAAAAGGCCAGACTAGATCTAATAAAGCCACAAGATGCTGTTTCCTAATTGCAGACCCTTCTTTGTCTCGTTCCAAGGGCTGTCTCCTCTTGTCCAGCATCAACAAAATAAGCCATTTTCCTATACTTACTAATTCATTCCTGAGGAACTCAGTAACCAAGGGCAGCCAAACAATGGTGTATCTGTCGATGGTCAGAGCTCCCCTCTTTCATTGCAGGATGTGTGTGTGTGGCATATATACACGTGCAGGAGGGCCATGCCTAGCCCACTACGTGTGCACAGCCTGTTCATGCAGGGCTTTCACAGTGGCTGTGCCGTGCTGGGCACCACTGGCGCCACACTGCCCGGGTGTTTCACCAGGGCCTCACTGCCAGCAATGACTGGTGTGTTTGCGGGAGCCTCAGGAGGCAGCAGGACATCTGGAAGACCCCAAGTGTCTCAAGTCTTCAGACTGGGCTGTGACAAGATTCTCAGGTGGAAGAAGAGCCTGCAGCATTTGTCTGATCCTTCTCAGGTTATGACTTTCCTTTCTGTGTCTTTTTAAGGGTGGATATAGTGAGACATGCTCCATTCCAAATCCAGAGAAAGTTTAAAATGAAGGAATACTTAAAATTACCTTGTCATTTTTCCAGCTGCCGACATACGTAGTTCTGTTGGCACCGGTGTGGACTCCATGACCGTTCCCTTGAGCATACCCTCAGGTGTCCTTTTGCACTCCCCCTCTAGAAAACAAGAGTGGTGGAAGACAGGTATTTTCACTTCAAGACAGAGAGCATCTGAGAGGCAAAAACCTATGAGATCGTGCAATGCATTTCTTCTGTTGCACAGAGCCATTTCTCCCAGAGCTGATTCTCCATCTCCTGTGGACAGACTGCTCACAGAGATGGGCCCTTGGAGCACGCAAGCCCTGCTGGAGCAGGCGCCTTTGGGTGCCATGCACAGAGTGCGAGCCAGCAGCAGTCCCGTTACCCATTCTTCCACCACCACTTAGCCCCACTGTGGGGGTGGTGGGGAGCTGGCGTGGAGCAGAGCAGACCCCAGTGGACCATCAGGGCAGTGGCTGTGGCTGTCTGCAGGAGGATCCTGAGGAAACGCCCCCATAGCAGCTTCTGTGTGTCTGTGGGGGGTTCATACACAGCCAAAGCAGTGTGTTACTTGGGTAATAGTCCATTTTTGCTGGTAAAATTTTTTCCTTTAAACTCCAACCTGGCACAGGTTGCCCGGAGGGGTTGTGGAGTCTCTGTCCATGGAGATACTCAAGACCCGATGGGATGGGGTCCAGGGCAGCCATCGTGGGTGATTGTCATGGTTTAACCCCAGTCAGCAACCAAGCACC